ACAGCAAGTTAGCAATGACAAGAATGTTACAATCTCCACTTTTTATGCGCTTTTTGCATCGATGTAATGCAAAAACGCATATTGTGGAGGGGTTGCTTTTGTGTATAAGCACTTGTGTTTTCGTCTGTTCTGATTTTTCATTTCGAGAACTACAACAGCTATAAGCCTGAAACTTTGAGAGATCAATCTATGTACGTGTACGAGTCTCCGTTCCCAAAATTGACACTCATGCCCAAGTGGTTGCCACGTACAGGCTTGTCAAAGTTTTTAGCTGGTAAGTTGCCAACTCGGGAATCAGAAAAGCTAGGAAGCTGATATTTTGGGGCATCTTTCCTGACAGCCGTTGTGGCCAGCCTCAATTCTTTTAGCTAGAAGCATTTGGTCGGAAAAAACCAGTCCCACTATCGACAAAGAGAAGTTGCGCAAAAAACGCTTCTTCGCACCGACAGTTGATGCGCTGGCCAATTATTTCAATGTTTAAGTTAAACTGGTCAAACAGACAGACATTAACACTCAGATATGACATAGCGCTGTGAACTTTCATGCGCTATTACTCAAAAGAACAACGAATGCCTTATTTAGCTTTAAAGGATGCTGAGAAAACGAGGGTATTTTACCAGTGGGCATACAAAGCCGATGGTTTTGGCATCATCGATCCTTAGCAAAATTTCGGCCAAAATCTGAGGAGGAATTGGCTCGCCACTGATAAAAATGTCGCAATTTTTTCCTGAAAATAAATTCAAATTTCACTATTGTCATAGCTTAATGCATTCAGAGAAACAAAACAACACAAAGTGACACAAAGAAAACAATAAAAAAAGAGTTATGACACGGTCAGAGTCAAGATTTTCACGCATCTCTTCTCAACAGCAGTGTCGAAGTTCCCTCTGTCAAATGTCCTGCATGTAACAGAATTCAAGTAACTGGTTAGCTATCAATTTATCATGACTGTCGGACTATCAGAAGTAAAAATGCGAACGAAGGGCGGCTTCCCAAAAGTAAACCATCCAACAGCAATAGGATTTGCAATGTTTTTGCGTTCACTGGACACATCCCGATAATTTTAGCATAAGATGATTGAAGAATCTAATAAAGCTATAACGTGTAAGAATGCAGGGAGATGACCAACAAACCTGTGTCACCCCCAAATCCCAAAAGCGACATCAGTGATTTCATTGCATATCAGAACCACTGGAATTCAATTTCGATATCTAAAAATAGATCGTATATCTCAACGCCACACAAAAAAACAAGTTTTGAAATGCAGCATTCTCTCAGCAACACTGAATTTCTGCATCATACATAGATCGTCACAATATGCGTTTTTGCATTTGCATAAATATGCAAAGAAGCTTGAAAGCAACAGCTTAGCAGCAAATCTGTGCGATGGTCTTGCCGGTCCTCGATGCTGAAATACTTCTTTTGCGGCACATAATACACATGGGTCCTTTCATCATGCATGGCTGCAATTCAGAAAGCGAAGAATTAAACAAAACATTTAAATATTAGAGGGTCGCAAAAACGTGAGAAAATAAATGCATTCTAGAACATCTCTAAAATTTTTATCCAATACAAAAGCCGCTAATCATCAAATAAACAGTGAAAGCGAAATGAGCAATTGCTGGGGGCCGAAAACGCACACAGTCCAGATGGGATAACATTTCTGAAAACTTCCTGTAGCAGCCACAGCTTGACACAGTGCATACGCACACGCATACATACACACGCACACACACACACACACACAAACATACACACATACTTACATACGTACATACAAGCATAAGCAACAACTGTGTGAAAATGGTTAAAAGCAATAGAAAATGACACCGAATGTTAGTGATGTACAAATGAACCAATT